CTTGAGGAAAGTTCGGCTGAGAAATGTATGTAAAACGGTGCTCCTTCATAATTTCTGCTCCAGAGATTTGATACAATGAGTATGGCATAGAGTTCATTAGTTTGAATTTCAAATTTGAATATCTATTCGCTTTAAAAGTAAATTATATTTGTACAGTTAAGGTACGTACGAAAATTTTACGGTGTGCATACAGGGAGTAAGAAGGCTGCTAGAGTGAACTAATCGACACTTTTCCCATCTCTCAAGGATGGTGGGCTTAGGAGAGAAAAGTTGGCTTGCTGGGACAGCTCCACTGGGGAGCTGTAAGGACCCCATCCACGTTCTGTCTCAGCCTTTGCTTTCCAGCATCCATGATGCGGTGCCTCACAAGAGGCCCCAAATCAAACTATGAGACAAAATAACTGTAGACATGAAAAGCACAGATCCCTACCCAAAGATGATACAAATTTATTTTAGAGCCAAATGGGTGGCCCTGGCTCAGAAATACGGATTTGGATTACCCCAAGTTCAATATTCTAACTGTTAGAAATTTTTCCTAACTCGAGCTCTCTGCCCATGTAAAAATCCCAATCAAGTCAAATCACAACAAGCCAAATTAAGAAATATCGAGGTTTAATGGGATTCCTGCGCTCTCGGGTGACCCCGAGGGGGAACCGGGAGGCTGGGAACCCTACCACTGGGGAGAGAGGAAAGACACCACGAGGAAACTTTCCGGGGAAGCAGTTTAAACAGACTGAGGGTGTGGTCAAGATTTTGGCAAGTTTGTCTTGACCCTCCAAGGGTCAACACTTGGCGGGCACAGGGATGGGGCCTCGAAAGATGGAGGCCAGAGACCAGGGCTTACCCTAACATGATGGCTGTTTCCTGACGTTTCTATAGTAACAGAACAAGAACGTCATACATCAAGACACTTTAAAAAAAATATCTGTGGAAACACCAGTGTTAACCCCAACAGAGAAAAGGAGATCACTACCACAACTGGAGACAAATTTGAAGCAAGTTTGATTTTTACTGGGATGCACTCAAGAGCCGCCAGCAGCTACCTCCTAAGTCACGTGAAAGAGAGAAACCCTGAGTCCACTTCTTGGATCCCTTTTAAGGAGTAAAATCTCAAGTAGTTTTACAAATGGAAGACAACGGAGCATTAAGGGGAAAAAAAAACTTAAAAAAAAAATCATGTGATTACCCACTATGTGATTAAGAGGGGTCAGGGAGGGTCAGGGTCAGGGTATTCTCAAAAACAAAACAAGGTCATGGGTTGGCGGAGGTCACATTCCAGGAAACAGAGCTCTTCAGCTCTCACAATAAATAGAAACATATTTTAAAAAATACAGCATAAAGGCTCCAGCCTTTAAAATGGAGTCAGGCAGGTTCCTCACCTGGTAGACAGGGTCAGCACAGTGAAGAACAATCTTAGCGTTGGGTGGGTGGAAGCCAGTAATCTGCTGCATTTGTGCATTCCAAAGATCTCACATGGTAGTCAGAAGCTCATTCAATCAGACAGAGAGCTGGGCAAGGGAAGAATATTAAGGAGGCCAAAATACTTTAAAATAAATGTAATCAGACTTCGAACTTGCAACCTTCCAACCTCTACAATCATTAAGGTTAAATGATTATTAGTAAAAGAGCCTATTTAGACAGTTCAGTATAAGCTATAGCTTACATTGAAGGACTTTGGTTCTTGGCCTGGAGAGATGCCTCAGAGTTTGAGAGCACTGGCTGCTCTTCCAGAGTTCAATTCCCAGCAACCACATGGGGCTCACAAGTATCTATAATGAGATCTGGCGCCCTCTTCTGGTGTGGTATGCAGGCGGCTTTTAAGTTGACGTATTTCAGGTGTTTGCTCACAAGATGGAAAACTGACTAACACAGGATATGAGGTGAATCTCACAAGCATTTTGGATGCTGAACAGCTTTTCAAATATTGTTGGCCCTTTTTTTCCTGTCTTCTTTTTTTTTAAGTTTTTGTTTTAAATATTCATTTATTTATTTATTTATTATGTGTACAATATTCTGTCTGTGTGTATATATGCAGGCCAGAAGAGAGCACTAGACCTCATTACAGATGGTTGTGAGCCACCATGTGGTTGCTGGTAATTGAACTCAGGACCTTTGGAAGAGCAGGCAATGCTCTTAACCACTGAGCCATCTCTCCAGCCCCTCCTGTCTTCTTAAAGAAGAAATTTGCCGTTTTTCCAGTTGGTTGGTTTACTGCCATCGATTGGTAGTTTTAGGTATTAACCCCTCAGCATACACATCCAACTTCATTGCTGTAGCCAATCATTTCTTGCAGGCTGACAGTTCCCAAATGAGATTGACACCTCAGTCCAGCCCGTGAGGTCAACAGTAAAGGAACCACCAACTGATGGTTTGCTTCTGGGGAGCCCTAATCTGTGACTTCCGTTGATAATAGGCCACCTCAAAATCCTCAAGGGAGCTCGCTAAAAGTGGTGAGTCGTGCCCTGTTCAAATGCAGATTCATTAAGTCTGGGTGGGTGAGGCACTTGGAGCTCCCTGCTTTAACACGTCCCCTATTGACTGTGCTGCCGGGTGTCCCCAGTAGTCGCCACTTTAGGAAATGCTGTCTATCTATGGGTGTCTCTGACTTCACCTGGTAACTGGACCACAGTGTTTGGTGAAATATTTTCCTTGATAGAGAACTTAGGGTGTAAAAAATAAATGATAGTTTAACACTCCTCATTGCTAACATTACAATTTGTGGTCAAGGGATCAGAATTTCTGGGCTGGACTTAGGTGGAACATTAGCATTCCAACTCGACAGCTCAATCTTTCAGCTAAAGGAGGGCCCCACCTCTTCGCACACCCAGCCCCGAAGGTAGGTTCAGCTTGAACCAAGCTAAAGAGATAAGCGGAATAATTGTACCTTTAATGGGACACTGCCCTTTTCCTTTCCTGAATCCCCGCCCCCTACTGCCATCTCTCACAGAGCTTTGAAAACCTGACCACTTCTCTGAGTTACTCTAAGAAAAACCTCACAAACCTACTTCGGATTATAAAACCCAGCCATTACAAACTCAAAAGAGGCCTGAATCTCAGTAGTTTACCCTGAGGCAATACCTGGTTCGGATAAAGACCACAAACTGAGACTACCCAGGCACCACCCAGGAACAGACTATCCAAAGGAAATTCCTAAAGTTCCAACCATTGTAGATTGGATCACCTGCCAGCACACACCTCCATGACAGATAGCAGCCGCTGGCTGAGAGAAAACCCACTAGATTGAGGCATAGAAAGATGGCTCAGTGGTTAAGAGTTTGCTGCTCAGTCAAGTGGTGGTGGTGCATGCCTTTCCTACCAGCATTTAGTGAGCAGATCTCTATGAGTTCAAAGCCAGCCTGCTCTACAAAGGAAGTTCCAGGACACACAGGACAACACAGAGAAACCCTGTCTCAAAAAATCCAAACTAAACCAAACAAATAAACAAATAAATAAAAGTTTGCTGCTCTTTCTACAGGGTTAGTGTTCAGATCTGAGCACCCATGTTAGGCAGCTCACAACAGTCAAACTTCAAGGGATTCCTCTTAGAGCCTCCATGGACACTCATTCTCTCTCTCTCTCTCTCTCTCTCTCTCTCTCTCTCTCTCTCACACACACACACACACACACCCACACACACCCACACACACACCTGTAAATAAAAATAAATCTCTAAAAAACCATTAGTGCATGTCTTCCCAAGGAAACTTCCCTTGAATATCTTGTCAGTTGACCTCAATCAACAATGAGTTTTAAAATTTATAGAAATTATGTGTGTGTGTGTATGTATGTGCACGCATGCATGTACGTGCGTATGTGTGTGTTTTTACTCACATGACATGTCACTGGAGCAGAGGTCAAAGAACAGCTTTTAAGAACTGGTTCTCTTTCCATCATGTGCGATCCAGAGATTGAACATAGGATGTCGGGCTTGGTGGTGGTAAACTCCTTTGCCCACTGAGCCGTCTCCCTGGTCCAATTAGTAGCATTTTAAATGTAAAATAGACTGTTTTTTTATTAGCCTTTGTTTGTTTAATTAGCTTTCTTGGCTAGATGTAATGTCCCTTGCCTTTAGCCCAGCACTCAGGAGGCAGAGGCAGGCAGGTCTCTTCAGGTTTGAGGCCAAACTGGTCTACTTTGCAAGTTCCAGACTAGCCACAGCTCATAGTGAGACTTTCTGTAAAGCAATTTTCCGCCTTGAAACTGTGTATGAATTTGCTTTGCTGTCTTAAAGAAATCTAATTTGATGTTTTCCTCAATTGTTCTTTTATTCGTGTTAGGCTTTTTAGTTCAGAAGTGAAATGATTTTGCCCAAGGTTATTAGAGCAAAATTAGAGTCCAATTAGTCACTTTGAGACTTAGCAACCAAGTGCCTGATGCCTCTTTAATCTTTAACAAGCTCCATTATTCACAAATTGATGCTGGTATCTAAGGAATTTGAAGTCGTGCAAACCACACAACTCTTAAATATTTGAATATTCTTTCCCGAGTTAAAAATGTATATTCTGCTCATCTGGCCCTCAAACTGTGAAAGGAAACACTGCCAAGCAGAGGTTGTCATGTCGGCCGTAAGACATGTCATGGTTTGATTCATTTTGATTGGATCTCTTTGAAAAGGCAATATTGATGGTCCGTCTCCCTCCTTTGCCTGTATTTCAACATGTACAATGAGGAAGTGTATAATTTTTCCACTGAAGGAAAAAAAAAATCAATGGGGTGAGGGGAAGCAGGCAATTTATCTAGGCTTTCCTCAAGTGCTTGCTTTGATTTGTGGTGGGCGAGGCACAGATTAACCCGGTTTTTCTACATCCAAAACAGGACTTTTGACTCCAGCTGGCGGTTCTTTGAAATCTTTCTTTTCTGTTTGTCTCTCCATATTTCTTTTTTTCCTTCCTCCCTCTGCTGCAGGGATTTGTCCTCTAAAAGCTCAGGGTGGGAGGGAGCAAGGGCTGGGAGCAGGCAGTCAGCAGGAGCTGGAGGACGCCGAGATCTGGCTTTTGTTATTGGTTGGTTGCGGCCTGATGGATGGTCGAGGGCGGAGTGAACTCTCAGTGTGTTCTGCCGGAGCCCAAGTACGGAGACCATATTTACAGGTAAGAGCAAAAATAATAATACTAAGCAGAAGGAAAGAGAAATTCTTTTCTTTTTGGGAAAAAGGAAATGCTTAGTTCTAGTGGAAGCATCCTTTGGGGGCGGGAATCCCGAAGGCGCTTGGCGAGAGCGATCCCTCGCTCGACTCCGGGCAGCCTTGGTTCGCCGTGGCTGCAAAAACCCTTCCCCGATTTAAACACGAAAACGCACAAACACACCAGGGGCATGTCTTCTTCTGGATATCCATCTAAGCAAACGTTACTGAGCAAAACCGATGGGTGAAATGGTGTGTCTTTGTGTGTGTGTGTTTTTTTTTTTTTTTTTTTTTTTTAATCAAGGCTTGTGCTCGTGGAAACCAAAGGAGGCATGGGGAAAGCTTGATAGATTCCACAGGTCATGAGAAAATGGAGCCTTCTCTGAACGTACAGGATTTCGTGTGGGGTCTTTCTATTGACCACCGAGTAAGGAGCTTTTGAAAACTGTTGTTCAGTTTGCAGTGTCTTTTAGTCTGGACTCGGAAGGAATGGTCTGTGTGCATGCAAAGCCCTCTTCTCTCCCTGCGTCTCACGCCCTGAGTAGCTGCAGCGTTTTAGTCAGCAGATTGGAAGCTTACGTGTGGTGTGGCGATGAAGTAACCATCAATAGATAGCTGTCAACATGCGCGGGACTGTTCTCACTTTAAAAACACAGAAGTCTAGCTGGGAAGGATGAGACTGCTGAGAAAAGTCATGTCTGACAGAGAAGTTTCATTTGTGAATTAGATACGTCAAGGTTACGAAATTCCAACGCATATTGATAGCAATAGCCTCACGACAGGTTTTTTTTTTTTAAAAAAATATTCCCCAAGTTTTGACTTTACTGGTTGCTTAGAATGCATAACGTTATGTTTTATTTTCCTTTAGGAAAACCAGGAAGGATTTTTAACGGTGTGGCATAAATGACATATTTATAGTAATAGAGACAGAAAAGTACTTTTATTCCCACTAGGTCCTCTGTTGATTTTAATTTATAAGATCAGTTAGGGCTGAGAGGATCTCATTACTTTTGAGCTCTTAAGAAAACAGCACAGTCGTGGACACTTTAACATCCAATTAATACCTGTTGACGGGAATTACAAGCTTAATAATGCTGTAAATAATTCATTCATATGTATTTTTGATGTCTTCGAATGAATCAAAAACTACCAAGAATGACTTTAATGTTGAAGAAAGTTGGTCTTGCTTTTGCTTTGACTTGAAAGGTGGGGGTGGTGCAAACCTTTGAATAAGGTGGTACCAACGCGGCAATTCTGAAGAAAGTCCACGGGAAGGAAATATGCTGGATATTGAGTAGAGATTATTCTAGTCAATGATCAGCTACTTCTAACTTTCTAAGCATACTAAATATACCTAATGTTTATGTTCAGGTGTGATGTTGATCTCTTCTGTCGTTTGGTTTGAACCATTTCCGAATTTCAAAATCAATGACATAATGCTGAAATTTTTTTGTGCGTGTTTAATTGCTAATATTTTTATTTTAAGTAATTTCTGATTTTCAAACAAAATGGTAATTGTGATCAATTCAAGTTTCTTACCCTCGTGGAACTTAAGGTGATATGCAAGACTAGAAATACTCAGTTACTGGAAGAGGTCGCAGACAATGAATTGATGCAGCTACATTTAAAGAAAAGGAATTATAAATTCTGAACAAAGCTACCTCTAGGAATGAAAGGGGATTGATGAAAATTAGAGAGCAGAGTTCCACATGGTTTTAAATTATTCTGTTTCCTTGGAAACCAGCTGCTGCAGATGTATATTGCTTTCTTTAGCTAAAAATATCGTCCCTTTAATAATCACTAAGGGGAAGGCTCTGAATCAAAGCAGGGTATATTGTTGTCGCGTTTTATAATGTTCTTAATGGCTCACGTATTTGGGATGGAAAGTAGATAAACCCTCACTCTCCATCATTTCCTCTCAGGCCTGGCAGACGTCTACATGGCTTATAAAAAGGAGACAACGGTGGCAGCTTCTACTGCAGTCTGTGGGAGGTGTGCGTGTGCGAGTGTGTGTGTGTGTGTGTGTGTGTGTGTGTGTGTGTTGTACTGGAGGCAAAAGAGAGGAAAAGGCATGGAAGATGATACAGGCAAATGAGAGCCAAAGCTCTTCAGGAAGCTATGGCAAGGCGAGGCCATTTGTTTTCCCTTAGTGCCGCCAGCTTTGGAAATGTTAGGTTTGCAGGGCAGATAACTAGTCTCGGTTTTTTTTGTCTTCTTTTGGCTCAGTGTTTGATTTCATTTTTCTCCCCGTGCTGCAGTGGTTAATAATGTACTGAGTTGAAAGATGGAACTAGAAGAAAACATTTTTTTTTTAATGTATTGCTTACTTAATAAAATAAAAAAAGTGCTGGCGATGCATGCCCAGACCATGAATAGTGAGCAATTGTATTGGACACAGTGGAGTAAGGACCATTTTAGCTCAGGTCTAGACCACATTTTACTAATTCAGTCATTTTCTTACCTTGGTAATGTACCTAATGACTAAAAGACTAGTCATTCTAGCAGGATAAAAAAAATGTTTTAATATTAAGGTTATTCATTTTTAATTACACACTTTTAAATATATGTACATATATATTTGAAGTATTTGTCTTTGTTTGAAATAAAGCATTTGTTGTATATGACTTCCCTTTATAAGAAAAAAAAGCCCCTCACAATTCTCATCCTAGTTTGCTCTAGGCAATTTCTCAAATTAAAATATTTTCATTATGTGCGCTTTGAAGACAGCATTGTCATCCCGAACACCATTTCCTTTATCATTTGTGAAGAAGAATCATCATAATGTTTTAGTTTTGCTGTTATTGTTATAATGCAAATGAGGTTTTCAATCCTGTTATCTCTTCCCCGCTTGTTTGAATAACTTTGACAGGGAGTGCTTGGTTTTCATAATAGTTATCTTAGCCGCCTAGACTTAGCCTTAGCAGTATAGCATGTACAGGTCTGTGCACTTTAACCGCGTGCTAAAGGATTTACTATCCGACCAGTACATTATAAGCAGCTAAACTCCCTAGGGGCATCACCACCTTGCTTTTCAGGGGGCCTTAGGATAGTGGGGGGTATTCAGTTTTTCTCAGTTAATGTGAACAGATTCCTTCCGAGATAACACATTCAGTATAAACGATGGTGACATTGAAAAGTAGACTAACAACAACAGAAGGACCAAGAATTGGTCAAGTGGCCTGTGGAGATAACCTCACCAGCAGGCACAGTCAAAATTATCTAGTGCACTCCAAGTTCCTGAAGTTTATGCACCAAATACACTTGTTATCCACCTTAGATAAAAATACAGTTCACTGCTTGCCTCTACGAAGTTTTTAATGTTCTTTTGTTTTCTAAAAAGGGCTCGCTACCATTTTAGATGCCTTTGTACAGGCCTCTCAAGTCTCATCAAATATACTAAGGAAAATTAATATTTAATAACTTCCTCCCTAATATAGGTAGGCAACCTATATCTGTAGTGGAAATGTGATGGCTTGGCAAATGACCCCGTCTTTCTGGAAATGGGAAGGGCTGGGATTTACAAGAAAGGGTAACAGTATCAGGGTCAGAAAGCGTGGGTCAGGTTTCCCCAGTTTCAGAGATACTACATACTTGAGGTGATCCAGGCAAATGAAAAACCATAGTAGCGTCTGCACTGCCAGGTGCCATAACTCAAAACTATTACCGGTCTGATGATATTCTTGCTTTCGTCTACATTAATACCCGGTACTTAATGTAGGGCTTATACAGGAATGAAACGGGAATTGACGCAAAGTGGTTGCTGCTCTTTAGTCATATTTTCATGCATCAAGGAGCCAGGCATGGGATTCGTTATCCAGCCAATGACATCGTTTGGATCCTCCACAAATCTCAGGCAGTGGGCGGGGCCTTGCAGTTCTCAGTCAGCTGTTGAGATCTCAATTACAATGGACTAAATAGTTTGACCTAAAAATTGTCGAAGGTACAAATTCTGCAAACACAGACTCAGTTTAAGATCTCAAACGTTTTATTCAAGATGTGAATATTTTGATAAGTGTTAGTGGTTTCTCTGCAGTGTGTATCGGCAAGGATGTCATGAACAAGAGGAAAACTTGATGGATATTAGACTTGTCATTTAAAAAGATAGATAAGATGGGCTGGGGAGATGGCTCAGTGGTTAAATTACTTGCTGTGTAAGCAAGAAGACTAGAGTTTGGAGCTCTAGAACCCATGCTTTTATCGGGCAAGCACACTGTTAGCCAAGTCCCTGAAGTTTCGACCTGCAGCCTGGAACCCATGCAAATATCGGGCGAGCACACCTTTAGCCCCTGAAATTCTGCTATGTCAAGATTTGACTGAGAGACACTGCCTCAAAGAGTAAAGGAGAAAATTGATAGAAGAATATTCCCAATATCAGTATGAGGTCTCCACACACATGTGCACATGCATGTATGCATATCTTCACCTATGGGTGCCTACATGTGTGAACATGCGTTTGCACACATGCATAGTACATGAGAAAATAAAAGGAGATAGCCGTGTCATATGTTTCTCAAGAACCCTTCTGTTAAGGGTAGGTCCAGTTTAGCAAAATAGTTCAAAACAGTAAGGAATCATGGCGTATGCAATATAATTCTGTTTTTTTCAGATTCACGTATATATTAGTTTAAAATGAAATTAACTTAAAAAAAATCAACATGCGGGGGCTGGAGAGATGGCTCAGCAGTTAAGAGCATTGACTGTTCTTCCAAAGGTCCTGAGTTCAATTCCCAGCAACCACATGGTGGCTCACAACCATCTGTAATGAGGTCTGGTGCCCTCTTCTGGCCTGCAGGCATATACACAGACAGAATATTGTATAGATAATAAATAAATATTTAAAAAAAATCAACATGCTTTTTGCAGTCGCACACAGTCTTTTGCAAATATTCATATATTTTCTATACTGTACATTTTCGGCTCTGCTCCCTAGGAGCATTTGACTGACTCACAGAGCTATCTTCCTGGAGT